GCAGGTGTGGTTTCAAGAAAAGATGAATGGGAGAGAGGACGGTGACGTCACACGCATGCGCAATTCATTGTTTACTGAATTACGCATGCGTGTTAATGGGGTGCTAATGACCGTTAAACAAGCACTGATTACATGTGATAGCGCTAGTGGTCCAGTGATAGAGCATCGACTAATTAACACGTTAATTAGCCAAGCCGTTGAGCTGGCAAAGAGCACTTGAGCCCCCATGGCACTAACTGGATCTGAAAAAATGCGCCCAGTAAAGTGCACTACTCCCCAAATCCGAACTGAAGTACGCAATTTAATCCTATTATTATAATATCTGGTTATCTGGACTAATGTTTGTAATGTATTTTATTAATTATATTCAAAAATTTAATTCAATAATTATAATAACGTTTACAATAATTTCGGCGACATCGTATGTGAAGTGATCGGTAGATCGCACAACTTACCATGATTTACAGCAACCACGGTCAGATTACCGCTATTTGTAATTTGAAACAAACTTTGGTTGCAAGAGAATGGATACACATATCACAAATGCCGTACCATGACTCACTAAAAGTCATATTTGAGCCAGGTTGACTAAAATGTCAACATAACGTTTTCGGAAATACATGTAGCACAGGAAGTCCCTACGGTGACTGGTCAAATTGTTCCATACGTAAAAAAATATCCTGCATACCACCTGTACCAAAGTGCTACGCTTTTGGTTCTTATAATTTTAAGTATATATATATATTGGAAGCTGCAACTAAAACAACATGATATTGGAATATATTATTCCTGATAGAATAATAATTTCAGATACAATTTCTTCCCACCATTGCATCAAAATTCTTTGAAGTTGGGAACTTTTTAACTGAATTACCGGTACATTGGGAGGAAACGTGTCACACTCAGGCGCAGTGGTGACTTGGCATAACACCACTGCCACAGGCTAATTTGCATATCACGTGACTGGACCAAGTTTGTTTTACCTATTTATTCACCTGAATTTGCTGAAGGGATAAAATGTGTCTTTTGGAAAGCGCACTATTAAAGGGGCACTGATCTAAAGCAATTCCCCGGGACTGGTTGTTGCCTTTGTTATTATTTTTTCCCCCGTGAGGGTTACTGGATGATATAGCAGAATTCTGGACTAGTTCACGACCTGTGCTGCGCCATTCGTAAGCGCGTTTGTCACTTTTATTGATAGCATAAGGGCGTATGGTCACACTGATCAACAAAATGAAGTACAGTTTTGGAAATGATATGGAAATGTAGGTATATTTGTGGGTAGCATCGGTAATGGTGACGAAGTTTTGGTAATTGTGCGATTTTCCTTCACACTATTGACTTGCAACAAAAGTAAATATTTCACCTGAACATTGCTTATTTTATCGTGTGTATATTTTTACAGTCAAATTTGCAAAATTTTCACTTAGGAAATTTATTAAACGCCAAAATATTCAGTTACTTTACAAATTGACTGAAAAATATGTCTATCTGTATTATTATAATAAAAAATTCCAAATATTTTTATGTGCAATATCATCCCCAAGTGACTGAAAATGTTGGGATTAAAAGTACATTTGTACAATGTTTGGCTTCTAATCCAAGCATAATTAATCTATTGTGATGTTTTTGACCGTCTTAATCATTTTAGTCAATCTGTTAAAGAAATGGACAGATGTTTCAGTCAATTTGTAAATTGACTGAAATATTTAGAGATTTTATAAATTGCTTGAATGAATCACATTTTACACATTGACTGTAACATATACACGCTTACAAAGGAAAATTCTTGTGAAAACGTCTATCGCGCTTCGAAGAACTTCCAAATCAAGAGGTAGACGAACAAGAATGATTCTGTCCAATGCTACAGCGAATGAATGAAAATAAAATGCAAATATCATAATTACAACCTACCAAATTTATGTGTATAATTTTAGGCAACTTCCTTGTTCGAGGAGTGTATCCGTGAATATCCACATAAAGGAACAATATCCCACACGTCTGCAGCTGTAAAAAGAAACTTATTCGATGTCACATGTCTCTATTACAGTCAAATATTTTAAAATATATATATCGTTTCAACTGATCACTTAGTTTGTTTCAGTTGTTTGACATAGGTGTCAAGTTTCACAGGTCAGCTGAGAAAGCCTGATGTCCACGGTTCTTTAAACAAATCCACTGAGTTAGATACAAGGAGCAATCAATCAAGGTATTATCGGTTAACCCTTTGAACAAAGTATGTAGTTTTTACATCGGCACTTCACGCCATGACATGAGTGTATTCCCTTTGTTTTAGTAAACCTAGACATGTAAACACTCACTTTTGACATATCCACTGTGCACGATACAAGTGATTAATCAATCAACGTTTTTTCTGTTGATCCTTTGATGGCTAGGAAAGATCCGTTGATTTACAAAAAAGTAAATCAACTGATCATTCATCTCTTGCTGGGCTGCCACATGCATATTACATAACACACATTTCACCTCACTTCAAACCTGGATTTAGATTGAATAATTACCCCCAGACACAAGACATGCCAAATGGGAACCTTTGTCAAGTAATCTGAGTGGTGCTACCCCTAATTATACCTGTAATAAATTCATTAACTGAGCATCAAGTGAATGACGACAAATACCAGAAAACGTGGATGACAAGGGAGTTGTAATAGTATTATCCACGCAATCCGAAATCTGAAAATACTTTCACTGCAGGGATACTTTTTTTTATCATTAAACAATAACCATCAGGGGTATTTCCCAATAATGACATCCGATGAGCTCTCACCGTTCTTGTTTGTTTGTTGGTTTAGACTTAATTAACATTGCGCCCTTTGTCAAAATCTTCAGAGATCACGGGTAACCAATCAGTGTTCAAAAATGTGTAAAACAAATATTGCCTCCAAGTTTATTTAGCTGTCCTTGCAGACGGTAGCCCAGTCTCTTGTCATGCTCAGTTGCGTTAGCGAGCAAATCGACTCACGGCAGCTGGTCAGGTCTAGAGGCCAGTGTCAGACAGCTGAGAAGAAGCCACAGATTAGTGCCCCTTTTAATACTCGATAAATCCTTTTTTACACCATGAATCATAAACAACTCCTATTCTAATCTTTTTTTAAAATCTGAAACGAGCAATGTAGATCATGTTAGGTAGTCAGAGCATGTATATTGTTTTGTTGGTCATCTACCACCTACGACTCGACCTATGTTAAACCGCTGATCATCTATAACACTCATCAATTATTTGGACCCCGAAGGCAGCGTTGTAGCGAGGGATTACTGTATTTCATTACAAAAATGTAAGCAGAAATTCAATAATTATTTGTCAAGACGTTAAAGATATGTCTTGTGTGGGCATTCAGGCGAAAGTGTAAGAAAAATCAATTCTCAAATCCTTAAGTAATTTAGTTACCATGAAATATTAGTGCTTGCAGTGAAAAATTTAGGCAATGGACAATTTTAGTTGTAAAACCAGTTGAAGTATGAAATGGAATGTGGCATCAGTGCTACTGGGGTGTATATGAACTATCGCTTCCCCTTCATCGGGCGCGCTGCCTGGAACACATCTGTAGCTCCTACACACAAGAATAATTGCTTGTCTAAATGTTACACATCTTCAGCGCAGCTGTTGATATCAAGTGAACCAACAAGAGTGAGTGAGTGAGTGAGTGAGTGAGTGGGTGGGTGGACAAGTTCTGTAGTGAGTAAGTAGGTGAGTGAGTTGGTGGGCGGGTTGGGTGAGTGAGTGAGTGAGTGGGCAGGATTTGAGTGAGTGAGTGAGTGAGCGAGGTAGTGAGTAGGTGAGGGAGTTGGTGGGCGGGTTGGATGAGTGAGTGAGCAGGATTTGAGTGAGTGAGTGGATGGGTGGGCGGGCGAGTGAGTGAGGTAGTGAGTAGGTGAGTGAGTGAGCGAGTTGCACATGCCTAATAGTTTCCCCAATACAACATGAGGCAAGACCAAACCTTTAATTACCTCAGAATGACTTATTAGTAGAAGGTACCAGCTTATCACTGGATGTAAAGTTCCTTCAAAAGACTTATTCAAAAGATTTATTTCATTACATGTACATCGTCAGGTCAAAGTTAACTTTATGATCATGACATATTGTACTGTTATAAATTATCCATACACTACTTTTCAATGAGATTAAATAGAAAACACACATATTTAGGTTTTTGGCCTACCCCAGCATGCATTCTAACAACTCTGATTCTTTAACTCTGACCTTTGTAGCCACATAAACAGTGAGCGAGTATGGTCTTACGCCGTTTTTAGCAATATTCCAGCAATATCATGGCGGGGGACACTAGAAATGGGCTTCACCCATTGTACCCATGTTTGGAATCGAACCCAGTCTTCAGCGTTACGAGTGAACGCTTTAACCACTAGGCTACCTGACTGCCCCCCACATAAACGAAGCCATGATACTACAGATCACCATGGAATCATAAAAAAACCTTGAAGAATGGTGATTGTATCTTAGTGTTATTTCTATATGTGAAGTTGTTCAGGCAAAGCTCTGTAAACGTATTACAAGAGTATGGATTAATGATTATAAGTCGAGCCACACTGGTGACATATGCAAATACCGCTGTCAGCCTGGCACGGGTGTAAGCAGCATGGGATGGTATAATCACCCGGGACGACCACCTGCACACGACACGTGTAGGTGTCGCACACCGACAATCACCACAACATCACATCAGTTTATAGAATAACTCCAAGACCTGTAAGGTGATCACCCGCCAAATTGCAATTCAAAATCACTGGACGTGACAATAAATCAATCAAAAAGTCCGTGCTAGTTGGCGTCAAATGTGAAATCGATGCTTGACAACTTCTTTACAAATTACACACATCTTTTTTTCACAGCATTATTTGATGTTTCAAAAATAGTTCTAAAAACTATAGTTCTTTATGGAAAAGGTTCAATAATAGCACAAAATTAACCACGCATTTCTTAACAAGCAGATAAATTTTCCAATGGGATGTGTTTCCAGTACCTTATAGGCTGAGATAATCCATGAACTGTTTCGCCTTTCTCAACCAGCAGTAAGCCACACGTTGATCACTTCGGCAGTATGAAGACTAACATCTCGTCTCTGAAATGAACACATTGTACAGAAAAAAAAGTTGTTAAATTACCTTAATAAAAATATAATAAAAAGGAGCCCAGAGACTCTCTTTTCATTTTCAGATACTGCAGTAATCTAGACTCGCCAAACATTATAGACTTGCATGGACTGTATTTGATATATTTGTATCAGAATACCTTCTTTCCTATTCTATCTCTTCCCAACCCTATCATATCTTGACATAATCAGAACTATCACTCCAAATCAATCTGCTGAGAGACAGACACTGTTTCAGTTTGAAATCAACATTGTGTACTTTAGAGGAGTATTGGATGTGTATTGATATTCTGTTATTATATATTATTAAATAATGATATAATATAAAAATGTTTAATGTATGAACATAAATTTCATAAACCCCTGTCTGTTTGGATAAAACTATATTTATTGTATTACATACAGGCATTGTGTACAGGTGTACGGGTATTGTGTGCAGGTGTTTGTTTGTTTGTTGTTTACCACGGCACCGATTAATCTAAACACAATCAAGCATTTATGATAACTTATTATCTATCCAGACTCCTGTATCACAATGTGATGTTCAAATTACAGTCACAAATACATGTGCCAGTATCAAGATCCCACAGTTCACTTGGTGTGTTTAATTTCCACCTGTCATTGTTGAATGGTCTTTGCATACATTGATTACTGTTACACTTCCAATCACCATATTACCACATGAGGTTGTTTGTTGTTTAACGCCTCACACAGCAATATTCCAGCTATATGACAACAGTCTGTAAATAATCAAGTCTGGACCAGGCAATCCAGTGATTGACATCATGAGCATCAATCTTTGTAATCAGGATGCGAAGACATCCATCAACCAAGTCAGCAAGCCTGACCACCCAATCTTGTTATGGGTGGCTGAAGACCTATTCTAACCCAGATGTTAACGGGTGTGCAGGTGTGCAGGGGTTGTGTACATCTGTACAGGTGTGCAGGTGTTGTGTACATCTGTGCAGGTGTGCAGGTGTTGTGTACATCTGTACAGGTGTTGTGTACATCTGTACAGGTGTTGTGTACATCTGTACAGGTGTGCAGGTGTTGTGTACATCTGTACAGGTGTGCAGGTGTTGTGTACATTGGTACATCTGTACAGGTGTTGTGTACATTGGTACATCTGTACAGGTGTGCAGGTGTTGTGTACATTGGTACATCTGTACAGGTGTTGTGTACATATGTACAGGTGTGCAGGTGTTGTGTACATTGGTACTTCTGTACAGGTGTTGTGTACATCTGTACAGGTGTGCAGGTGTTGTGTACATCTGTACAGGTGTTGTGTTCATCTGTACAGGTGTTGTGTACATCTGTACATCTGTTGTGTACATCTGTACAGGTGTTGTGTACATCTGTCCAGGTGTGCAGGTGTTGTGTACATCTGTACAGGTGTTGTGTACATCTGTGCAGGTGTTGTGTACATCTGTACAGGTGTTGTGTACATCTGTACATCTGTACAGGTGTTGTGTACATCTGTACAGGTGTTGTGTACATCTGTACCTGTGTTGTGTACATCTGTACATCTGTGCAGGTGTTGTGTACATCTGTGCAGGTGTTGTGTACATCTGTACAGGTGTTGTATACATCTGTACAGGTGTTGTGTACATCTGTACAGGTGTTGTGTACATCTGTACAGGTGTTGTGTACATCTGTACAGGTGTTGTCTACATCTGTACAGGTGTTGTGTACATCTGTGCAGGTGTTGTGTACATCTGTACAGGTGTGCAGGTGTTGTGTACATCTGTAGAGGTGTTGTGTACATCTGTACAGGTGTGCAGGTGTTGTGTACATATGTATCTAATAAAGTGTTTTCACTGTTTGCATGACTTGCTTTGAGTCATTTCCTACTTTGATGGTTGGTTGATATGAAACTTGAATAGTTTTATGATTTGTGACCTGCCAGGAGAAAAGTGACCTTCTGGGTGCTGGGATACAATTGTGCTATGACGTCAAAAAGACATTTGACGTCAACTTACTTCAGTGAAGATTGCTATGTGGGATGTCATGTATCTCTGTAATAAATATGAACTGAAGCTTGTGAATTGTATTTATGTGTTCCCAAAATCTCGTAGTTTTAAAATATAATGAAAAGTCAAAATGTGATTATTCACCAATAAGGTCCCTTATATCACAGTTGGTCACATTTGAAAACTGAAAGAGCAAATTTGAATTGCTTCATTACTTGATTCCCACAGCATGACAAACTGGGACTCATGACAGGTGGCCCCTGTCTAGATGACAGAAACAAGTCTTATATACCGGTACATGATCTCTAATAGGTGATATAAATAACGTGGAATCATATCATTCTTTGAATGCCAAGTAGGTAAAGTGTTCACTTTACCAGCTATGGGTCCTGTTGCTTACCATGGTATTGCTGGAACATAGCTAAAAGTCCACAGTCTCGTTACATGTCAACACAGCATCTCTGAATATGCCCCAGTTTAGTATCTATGCCACCATGCATAATGTATGACAACACAAAGGGGGCACCAGGTATAAATTATTCATGCACACCCTTATTGATACCATCAATCTCGGACACTTCTCCGCCACCACCAAGGTCACAGTTTGATTACTCGCCTCCGGAGTTTCGCTGTCAACAGCTGAACTAGGTTGTTGCCCTGATTAAGATGGAGGCTCCATGGGGACTTGAGACCCGGGGTTTCAATACCATCTCCGGGTCCCCCCAACCCATCCCCCGGCCCTCTTTTACAAGGGATGGACACAATATTACTGACTCCATTCTGGCAACTTTGGCTTCAATCTTGCAACTTTGGCTCCATGTCAGGCCATGGCATTAGCTCCGGAATCAATTATTTGGGAACAAAGAGTGCCTGTCTTTGATGGCAATTAATCAGCAGCAGGAACAGTCATGACACCTTGGACCGGTTCCTCATCGGTTGAAACAGGACCACATCTACATAAAAATGTACCGGTTCCTTGAAGATGGGAAGTACAAGGTGGATACAAGCTGCAACAGGTCTACCACGCTCAAGTGATTTATTGGCTGGGTGGGTAGGAGGTTAGGTGGTGGTCAGTTGGGTTGGTGTGTTGTCAGGTGGGTTGGTGTGTTGTCAGGTGGGTTGGTGTGTTGTCAGGTTGGTGTGTTGTCAGGTGTGTTGGTGTGTTGTCAGGTGTGTTGGTGTGTTGTCAGGTGGGTTGGTGTGTTGTCAGGTGGGTTGGTGTGTTGTCAGGTGGGTTGGTGTGTTGTCAGGTTGGTGTGTTGTCAGGTGGGTTGGTGTGTTGTCAGGTGGGTTGGTGGGTTATCAGGTGGGTTGGTGTGTTGTCAGGTGGGTTGGTGTGTTGTCAGGTGGGTTGGTGTGTTGTCAGGTTGGTGTGTTGTCAGGTGGGTTGGTGTGTTGTCAGGTGGGTTGGTGTGTTGTCAGGTTGGTGTGTTGTCAGGTGGGTTGGTGTGTTGTCAGGTGGGTTGGTGTGTTGTCAGGTGGGTTGGTGTGTTGTCAGGTTGGTGTGTTGTCAGGTGGGTTGGTGTGTTGTCAGGTGGGTTGGTGTGTTGTCAGGTGGGTTGGTGTGTTGTCAGGTTGGTGTGTTGTCAGGTGGGTTGGTGTGTTGTCAGGTGGGTTGGTGTGTTGTCAGGTGGGTTGGTGTGTTGTCAGGTGGGTTGGTGGTCGGGTGGGTTGGAGTGTTGTCAGGTGGGTGGGTGTGTTGTCAGGTGGGTTGGTGTGTTGTCAGGTGGGTTGGTGTGTTGTCAGGTGGGTTGGTGTGTTGTCAGGTGGGTTGGTGTGTTGTCAGGTGGGTTGGTGGTCGGGTGGGTTGGTGTGTTGTCAGGTGGGTTGGTGTGTTGTCAGGTGGGTTGGTGTGTTGTTAGGTTGGTGTGTTGTCAGGTGGGTTGGTGTGTTGTCAGGTGGGTTGGTGTGTTGTCAGGTGGGTTGGTAGGTTGTCAGGTGGGTTGGTGGTCGGGTGGGTTGGTGTTTTGTCAGGTGGGTTTGTGTGTGTCAGGTGGGTTGGTGTGTTGTCAGGTGGGTTGGTGGGTTGTTAGGTTGGTGTGTTGTCAGGTGGGTTGGTGGTCGGGTGGGTTGGTGTGTTGTCAGGTGGGTTTGTGTGTGTCAGGTGGGTTGGTGTGTTGTCAGGTGGGTTGGTGTGTTGTCAGGTGTGTTGGTGTGTTGTCAGGTGGGTTGGTGTGTTGTTAGGTGGATGTGTTGTTAGGTGGGTTGGTGTGTTGTCAGGTGGGTTGGTGTGTTGTCAGGTGGGTTGGTGTGTTGTCAGGTGGGTTGGTGTGTTGTTAGGTGGGTCGATGTGTTGTCAGGTGGGTTGGTGTGTTGTCAGGTGGGTTGGTGTGTTCTCAGACTGGTGTGTTGTGGTTGGCTAGGTGGGTTTGTGTGTGTCAGGTGTGTTAGTGTGTTGTTAGGTTGGTGTGTTTTCAGGTGGGTTGGTGTGTTGTCAGGTGGGTTGGTGTGTTGTCAGGTGGGTTGGTGTGTTGTTAGGTTGGTGTGTTGTCAGGTGGGTTGGTGTGTTGTCAGGTGGGTTGGTGTGTTGTCAGGTGGGTTGGTGTGTTGTTAGGTTGGTGTGTTGTCAGGTGGGTGGGTGTGTTGTCAAGTGGGTTGGTGTGTTGTCAGGTTGGTGGGTTGTCAGGTTGGTGTGTTGTCAGGTGGGTTGGTGTGTTGTCAGGTGGGTTGGTGTGTTGTCAGGTGGGTTGGTGTGTTGTCAGGTGGGTAGGTGTGTTGTCAGGTGGGTTGGTGTGTTTTCAGGTGGGTTGGTGTGTTGTCAGGTGGGTTGGTGTGTTTTCAGGTGGGTAGGTGTGTTGTCAGGTGGGTTGGTGTGTTTTCAGGTGGGTTGGTGTGTTGTTAGGTGGGTCGGTGTGTTGTCAGGTGGGTAGGTGTGTTGTCAGGTGGGTTGGTGTGTTGTCAGGTTGGTGTGTTGTTAGGTGGGTTGGTGTGTTGTCAGGTGGGTAGGTGTGTTGTCAGGTGGGTTGGTGTGTTTTCAGGTGGGTTGGTGTGTTGTCAGGT